TGGTCTACACGTTTACAGTAGGGGAGCTATGTATCATTGTATCGCACGCTCCCTGTAGCTCGTAACTTGCGAACTCAGAAGTCGTTGATAACGCACTTGGCGACTGTCACAGTACAACTGACTGTGAATAGCCTTCGCTGCTCCTTATGTAGCCTTGATCGGACAATTGTCGTCTGGTGCCTTGTTGCTAGCCACGCTGTCCGGAGTTGTTGACTGCTGCCTAGCAACCGCGATATCCCTCGGTGACGTCACCGCGCGTTGCATAGCTACCAGGATGCGGGGTGATTACTCGCCTATTACGCAAGCGCTACGTTACCGCCGGGGAGGTAGGGGTCACATGTCACAATATGATATTGTAAGTTTGGAAACAAGTCAGGACAGTATTGAATCTAATGTAATTTCAAAAACTTGAGTTATAGTTGACTGTACTATGAAAATAAACAGCAGTGTGGATTACAGCAGTGCATACACATCAGAACAATTTATACATTTTGTAAATACTTTATTGAAATAATGAGCCAGGTTAGCTCAGTTGGTACAGTGACTGGCTGTAGGATGATGACTTCCCCATGCTGAGAGAACTGTACCTTGACCGTGTACTTATATACCAATAACACTGAACAGTATCTGAAGTCATGTATAACACTAAAGTAATAGTGGGAACATGTTTACTATAAACATTTGTAATTCATAATTCTATATATTTTTTACCTAGAACACAATGTCATAACATTTCAGCTAATGTGAATGAATTACAACAGCATGGTTCTGTGCCTCATGATAAGACTGTCGATAGAATTGGCATGGGAAGGACTGAATAGAAAATTTATCCATTCACAGGCTTCGTTATTGTATCTAATTCTTCTGAATTTAGTGGTTCATGAATGTATAATTGGCCCAAAACATTGGTTGACTTCATGTACACGCACACGCACGCACACACACACACACACACACACACACCTAGTTATCTCGGACATTTAGCATTATGGAAAGTGGCAGTAGCTGGAACTCCAAGCAACAGAAGACAGATTCAGACAGCAAATAGCAGAGTTATAATTAACATAATAAATGCTAAGTGCTAATAGTCACTTCAAACTATGTTGGGTGTTTTGATAAGTGTTATGAATTTCTTGAAAATGGAGAATAATGGATAATTTAGATAATTTTTTTCATTTTACTCTCCAGTACAAACAAGTTTCTTTTTCAAATGTTGCAATAATAGTTCAGACATTGATTATATAATCATAAAATTTAGGATGAAAGTACATCCTACACAACATAAGAAGGAAACTTAAATTTAATGCACATCTTGCTGTGTTACAGATAATTTTTCAATCTGATAATAAGAATTCATTGATATTCAGGTGTGAACATCCCATGGTAGATCCTGCTATTAGGTTTCATAGTGCAGTGAAGCAACTCCAAAATTAACTCTTCACCAAACAGAGCGATTCATCCCTGTTTGCCATTCCATCGAACTCATCTCTGCCTCACATTTCTTACTGGGATCACAGTGTCCTTGAACGAGTACAACTTCCATCCTTTTAATTTTCTCCTGCGAAACCAGTTTGATGTGCTTCTGCCTTGTCACTTCACAATCATCTGTTACATTATCATATTTGTCATTTAAATCCTGTAAATGATTTTCGTGTCACATTAGATAGTTTTCATTGATATTTGCTAAGTTATTAGGTCTTATTTGTTTTATATGTAATTTTTCTTTTCCTGATATATTATATATTGCCGTATTCAGTTAAAACTTTAGTATATGTCTGTCACAGGGTATAATCTCACTTCAGTGGATTTTAATAAATTGCAATATGTTGTAATCAATTTATGCAGTCTGATTTTCCTTGTAATTATGATTCATTTTTTAAATGTACAACACTTAAGTGTCGGTGCCTTATTTCTTATTTTGTCTTCAAGGACAAAATCAACTGTCTTTATGTTATGGATACTGTGCATCCTTGTATGCCCATGAAGCACATTACAGACTTTTTCACGTTTAATCTAAGTAATACTACAAGACCTGTTCCTCCACCCACCACTGAGAATGGCATTTGTTGACTCCAAGATGTTTCTAGTAGAAACGCTCTTTCTTTTCTTAACGTTATGTAATTTATTGCTGTTATTGTAACTTGTTCTTTTAATTATTTTATTTTAGTTTTTAATTTTATGTACGATGGAGTACCCAAAAGAAACCGAACTAATTTTTTTGTGAGCAGAGCTTTTGTACTACCGCGTTTTGCCACTATGAGCACATAGAGCTAACATTCCTGAGTCGATAAACCGACTACCATTGCTTCAGAAGGTAAGGACTAGTTTTGGCAGAGTTTATAGTGACAACTGTTTTGTGTGATCATCGTTTTTGCAATGGCTGATTTTCGTGAACAGCGTGCGGTGGTGAAATTCTGCTTTTTGCTCGGGAAAAGTGGAACAGAAACTCTTGAAATGTTAAAAACGGCGTACAAGGACGATGCTATGGGGAAAACTCAAGTGTTTGAGTGGTTTTCCCGTTTCAAAAATGGTGACATGTCANCATGACAATGCCCCTGCTGACACAGCCCTGTCTGTACGACAATTCTTGACCAAAAATGGTATGACACCTGTTCCTCACCCTCCATACTTACCCGACCTTGCCCCGTGCGACTTTTTTTTTATTTCCTCGAATGAAAAGAGACATGAAAGGAAAAAACCGACGGAGGCGCTGTCAAACATCTCAAAAGATGAATTTAGACAATGTTTTGAAAAATGGAATAAAAGACTAGACAAGTGTATTAGTGTAAGTGGAGAGTACTTTGAAGGGGATTGAAGGTTTGTGCTTAAAATTTGAATAAATAATTTAAAAAAAAATAAGTTCGGTTTCTTTTGGGTACCCCCTCGTACATTTATAGTGCTGACCTCTTATGAGCTGTTTACTGTTAGCAATTGATTTTATATTGACGTAGATATGTATGTATATACACCCATATGTATATCATTGCAGGTTAAGAAGAAGAGACAAGGCATGACAGAACGCTTTGTGTATCAGTATCACTACACAAACTGGCCTGACCATGGCACACCAGATCACCCATTGCCCGTCCTCAGTTTTGTGAAGAAGTCATCAGCTGCCAATCCTGTGGATGCTGGCCCAATAATTGTCCATTGCAGGTAGGATCCTGCATGGAATGGCAAATTTTGTGTTTTGAGCAACTGCTATGAGAGAAATATGTACAAAGAACTTTCATAATGGAAACACTATCTTGAAGAGACCGTTTGGATGATTTCTTTTATCTCAGATAAGAGAAATGTATTACTTTTCTGGATGTTAAAATTCAGAATCTATACTCTATTTTATAACAAGGAGCTTTATAACTTGCACTTTTCACCATGAATAATTGGTCTGATTATATGTCATGGAGGATACAGTGGGTAGATCATTTAGCACACATGGGGAGGAGAGGGATGCATATAGGTTTTTGGTGGAAAATCCATAAGAAAAGAGACAACTAGGAAGACCTAGACACATTCATAGGTAGGAGTATAATATAAGAATGAATGTTCAAGAAATAGGATGGGGTGCTACGGAATGGATTGATCTGGCTCAGGATAAGGACCAGTGAACACAGTTGTGAACTTTATGGTTCCAGAAGTTTTGGGGAAGTTCTTGAGTACCTGAGCGACTGGCAGCTTCTCAAGAAGGACTCAAGAAGAAGAACTCCATGTAGTTGGTCGGTCGGTCGGTCGGTCGGTCAGTCAGTCAGTAGCTAGACTGTACAGCATTTAATGTAAATATGATAGATGAATGGGGAATTGGAATGTATTTGGAAGGAAGCAGTTATAACCTACTACAGTGGCTCTCAACCTTTGTGAGACCGTGGCCTGGTAAATTCTTTTTTTAGAAGATGAGGGCCTGGTATAATTGATGCCAGGGCCCTGTACCTGGTCGCAGCCTGGCAGTTGAGAAACACTGACCTAGTGGGTGTATTATTCTCTCCTTTCCTTAGAGGGGATAATGAGGAAAACCATGAAATCCCATTTAAGAAAGCTGGTGACCAGGCCAAGATTTGAAGCAAGCACATCCCATATAAAAGCCTAAAACATTATTGGTACACCAATCCATTCCGTATGTCTCTGCTAATATATTGTGACGTGTTGCGCTATGAAATATTAAGAATAGTTTAAAGTATGGAATGGATTAATAGTAACCACTGTGCAATATTTGTTTTCAGTGCTGGTGTTGGCAGGACAGGCACATATATAGTTTTAGATGCAATGTTAAAGCAAATTAGAAGCAAGGGAGAAGTGAACATTTTTGGATTTTTACGGCATATTCGCACACAACGCAACTTCCTGGTGCAAACAGAGGAGCAGTATATATTCATCCATGATGCACTCCTTGAAGCAATTGAGAGTGGTGAGACGAACCTTAATCAGGCTTATCTATCACGCTACATTCACAGCCTACAAACCAGTGATGCCCTGGAGGAAAAAACAGAGCCATGGAAAATGCTTGAGATCCAGTTTAAGGTGAGTGGATAGGAGGAGGAATAATTTATATGCAAGAATATGAAATTAATGCCTTATGGGGAGTTTACCCTCCCCAGCCATCAGTCATGACAGATGATATTTATTTTTAGTTATTCATTTAATTGAATTATGTGATGTGGATGAGTAGCTGTGTAGTCGTCTTAACACAGTAAATAATCAAGGCATACCATTAAGATGGATGTTATGATTCTCAGTGCTTGTAAATACCTGATGTATGGGTATTAGAATTCTCATTATTCTTGCAGTAAGCTTGAATTTTGTTCAGAATTTCTCCCAGGCTCTGATTGATACTGCCATCTATGTGAGATATTCTTAATTACATAGTTTTAATTTTAAATCAAACATGAGTCAGAGTCGGTCTCAGTGTTGTGTACCATGGCTACAGTGAACTACACTGGACATTTTGCACTAAAGGAACTCTGGTAGTTATCCTCCTTAACTTCCTTTACATGTGCAAATAGTGATTGGTATTTTGACACTGCATTATGTTCATGGTTGATTTAACATTTTTATATAAATGAAGAACTGAACAAGCTGATCAAATTCATGCCATGTTAGGAGGGTCCCTTGTCACCATGGCATGGTGCATCCTCAGGTTTTGGATGGAGGAGATGGCCTCCAGATATGGAAGGTAGCTGCAAATATATTGAATAGGCAGTTGAGGACAGCTGACAAGGGGTGGTCCTCCAGCTTGGGGTTATGGCATGGGGCTAACAATTCCTCACCACAAAAAATAAGCTTGTTATGAAAGATCACAAGAAGCCTCAGACCTGGACAGATTCCTTGGATAAGCAACCTAAGTGAAAGAAAATTTATATGTTTACTCAGGGCAATGGCAGAAGAAATCTGAAAATATAAGTTAGATTTAGTGGGAGTACAGGAGGTCAGATGGAATGGAGGTGGCACTGAACCTACAGGTGAGTATACATTTTTCTATGGAAAGGGGAATAAGAAACATGAGTTAGGTAAAGGTTTTATCGTACATAAGAGAATCATATCAGCAGTTAAAAGAGGGTAGAGTTTGTTAGTGATAGGATGTCATACATAGTACTAAGAGGGCACTGTTGTGATATCGTCATTCTGAATGTTCATGCCTCAACAGAAGAGAAATGAAGTGACAGGAGGTTGGAGAAAACTGCATAATGAGGAGCTTCATATCTTGTACTCTTCGCCAATTATAATTATAATCTGTCAGAGAACCCATCTTTCTCATAAATTGAACCTTGGACTTCCATCATATGAAGCCTTAATGCTTACAATTTAATCAAAATGTTGAGTGTGTGTACCTTGAATTAGATTTTGGCTGCCTTTCTTCAAATCCTTACTTATATGTCTTTCATGATCATCTCCTGATGTCATTTGATGCTGTATTACCTCGGTTAAATAGAATCAGTTAAGAATAAACTTGTGGATCTATGAAGGCATGTAGAAGTGCGGAGGTAAAGGTGCATGCACTCTTTAACATTGGTACTAGTTATAGGTAAGTAGCCAGCTTTGCAATCTTGCCATTTTATGATTATGATTTTATGATTATTTTGAAGACAGTAGTATACATTAAATTAGTTGAATCTCTTCCTTTTCAGCTTGTAACATCATTCCAACCAAAAGATTTCAACCTAGTATCTGCCAACAAACCATGCAACCAGCTGAAGAATCGTACGCTAGATCTTTTGCCAGTTGAAAGTGCCAGGGTTCATCTGACTCCAAAACCTGGAGTTGATGGAAGTGATTACATAAATGCTACATGGTTTCAGGGTACAAACATACATATTAAATGCACTGTATTTTATAATATCAATTTGTTTGAATTACATGTATTCATTCAAATATCTTATATATTAAATGGGCATTGTAGCTTTTAAACTAGTATGTGAAAGGTTATCTGATGTGTTTACTTGCAATACCACATACTCGTATATCGAGCACAGAATGGTGGTATATGTTCCTCCCATTTTCATTTCTTTGACACAAGTCTTATAATAGAAGTATTCATCACTTTATTTTAAACAACATGCCTAAATCATTTACACCCATAAACATAAGAAATCTATAGAATAAAAACAAGAAGCATCAAAGCCCCAGTTTTGAATGGTCAGTTTCATTTTTGTCACCTCTTGGGATATGTGTCTGTACCATTAGTGTTGAGTGGAGGCTCATTGTGCCCCACAGCTCTAGCCATTTTCAAAAAGAAAAGATCACAAAATCTATATAATGGTTGTAATTTGGTTTTATTGCAGTTTTATAGTTAAAACCATTTAGTTCATAGGTAATTTCCTGTATTAACCAAGCTGCCTAGGCTTTCACTTAGTTAGTTATTGGAGAGGGTGGGTTTCCCCATGCACTGAGACCAGTATTGGTCCATTGTGCTTCCCACTGTGATATTCTACCAGTCTCTATACCCTACCGATATTGGTGCGTACCATCAGTCCCGACTGAGCCAGCGAGTTCGGCCTCTAGTGGCTTGGCGGTATCTGTAATGCTATCAGAGGCGTTAGAGACTACTGTTGGGTGGGAAATGTCCTTGAATTTAGCTCAGTGACCTCCTTTGGAGATATGAGGTTCTTTTACGTGCCGTAAAGCTACGACATGGGACCCACAGCTTAAAGTCCCTCCCGGAGGACTTGTTCCCTGAATTTTTCCGCTCTTAAAAATTCCACGACCTCTGCCAGGTTTGAACTCTCGTACCACGAGTCATGAGGTGGGAACGTTACCTCTAGACTATGGAGGCCGCTTAGGCTTTCACTTAATGCAGATTTGTTGTTTATTTAATTTCTTCTTAATGTGTTAAGCTGAGGAACTGATTTTTTAGCAGCAGTTTCATTAGCTAGACTAAACAGTGTAAAATGGTTGGATGACAGATGAATGTGAAATTGGAAAGGATTTGGAAGGAAGTGGTTATTTGCTAACCGAACTACTGCTCTGACAATTGGAGGGAATTAAGGAAATTACCAAAAATCTGTCAGAATAGCCCATGTTTGAGCTGAGATTTCAGATTGAACACCTCCCAGATATGAATCTGAAATATTACCATTTTTCCAACCCGCTTGATTTAATAACCTGTTACCCAATAAAACTGCATTCTACATTTCCATTGTCTGCAGTACACAGTCTTCAAAAATTTTGGAACTTTTTTTTTTATATAATTTTTTGTACATGCTTGCCTGCCTTCAAGGATCCCCCTCCTGCATTGATGCACCCCTCCCAACGCCATTGTCACTTTTGGAAATAGTACTGGTACACCTTTTTCGGGATTGCATGTAGCTCCATCTGCGAATTTTCTGAAATCTCTTGAATCATATGAAATCATCATCCTTTCAAAGTGGATTTCAATTTGGGAAATAAGAAAAAGTCTGCTGAAGCCAGGCAAGGTGAGCAGGGTGGCTGAGGAAGCACAGTTGTGTTCGTGTTGGCCAAGAAATCATGAATTAGTATCGATGCATGAGCTGGTGCGTTGTCGTGATGGAGGAACCAGGAGTTGTTTCTCCACAACTGAGTCTTTTCTATTCCTTACACTTTCTCTTAGACTTTTCAGCATTTTGAGATGATACCAGTGATTCACTCTTTGCCTCGACATAAGAATTCACAATGCACAACACCCTCAATGTCAAAAAAACAACACGACTTCCACGTTTGACCTGATCTGCCACGCCTCTTTTGGTCTTAGCGATGTTTTTCCAACCAACTGTGAGGACTGCATTTTTGTTTCCACATCTTATCCATAAACCCATGTTTCATCATCGGTTATAATTCTTTTTAGAAAGTTTTCATCCATGCTAGCATGATCGAAAAGTTCCCGGCAGATGGCAACACAGCTGTCTCTCTGATCATGTGTCAAGTTTTGGGAAAAACTTTGAAACTCCCTGATGCATTTCTAATTTTGCACTCTTCTGCTGTTTCCCACACTGTCAAACAACAATTAAATCACATGGTTTCATGAACTTGCGCAACATGAGCATTGTCACATGACGTTGAGGGCTGTCCCAAATGTGGTTCATGATGTGTTGACTGCTGACCATACTTAAATCTCTTAAACCATTTATAACAACATGTACGGCTCATGCACTGATCACCATAAACTTTTTTCATAGTTTCATGAGTCTCCATAAACATTTTCCATAGTTTGAAACAAAATTTAATGTTAATACGCCATTCATGAATATCAGCCATATAGTAATGCACATAGTAAATATAATTTGATAAAGATAAGGTAAAGTTCTTCCTGGGCTCAATTAATTAAGCACCATGCCATAAAGATATATCACGGAGTGAAAGTATAGTTTCTTGGCATTAGATGGAGGTGAGTGGTCAGCTTCACACTTCAGCTTCTTTACCCCCCAGTGGAAAGGGCCTGCAGTGCCTACTGGGTAGAAGACTGGCTGGGCCCCAGAGCCTGTCTGGGTGCAGCCACATAAGAAAGACACATCATAAGACACAATATATATGCAATTAAAACATAAGAAGAATGACTCCCATAGTGGTTGAATGGCATTACACATGAGTTTGATATACGACATGTAAGATGATAGATCTTAACAAGTTTTAATATATAAATTTTATTATTCAACAACAGCGAACACAAATTTATATCATTTTATAAATGGACACTTGAAGGCAGGCGGTGCAATGGTTTAACGTGATTGATACACCTGATGATGGCAGAATGATGCCGAAACATGTAGTGTGAAGTGACAAGTGAAATTGTATACACTAAAACACAGTAAATATATACACATTATGGAGGAGAAAAATCTCTTGCCCCTACCAGAATTCGAACCCCAGCCATCCAGCCTGTAGCCTGTCGCTATCCCAACTCCATATGTAATTTGATAGATTTCAAAAAATATAGTGAGATCATGACCAGCCAATGTAAAGCAACACACCAGCACCAATGGAGAGAGCAGTATTTGGAGAGTAGAACCTGAGAATTTATGAAGATTGAAGTGTTGATAGTAATACTAAATTCCTTCTAGTAAAATATTGATTTTTTGTTATTTCTGTAAGAATTGTATGCCTCTATTTTTTCTAAATAAGGCACATATGCATACATTCATTTCTGTAGAAGTTACATACGGAGATGAGGTTGTCTTGTGGATTCAACACTATAATTGAAATTTTATAAACTGTGTAATGGGGAATTATTTCAGCATAAGGTGATACATATTCTTAAATTTATGAACATTAAACATTCCTTACCAAAATAGCAATTATAGCAGCTTCTCTACTTTTGTAATTATTATCCATCACTCTTCTTAGTTGTTGCATGCACTTTGAAGTAAGATCAGAAATAGAACTGAGTATTATTGTGTTCCTTATTTTTGCAGGTTTCCACAAGTTGCGGGAATTTATAATCACGCAGCATCCGCTTGAAGTGACTGCACAGGATTTCTGGCAGATGGTTTGGGATCACAATGCGCAAACGATTGTCATGCTTTCCAGTTCAGATGACCAGGTTTGCTAAAGCATATTCTGAAAACACTCGTAGTAGCAGTAGGTGAAGTAGCCTTCAACTAATTCCATTCTCTCACCCCCCCCCCTCAAATTCATCTGTTTTTCTCTTACCCACCCTTCAAAATTTCATACACCTTTCTGTGCAGCATATTTATTTTTTGTGGAAATGTGAGTAGCCCATTTATTTTTATGTTGAACAATATTTTATCATTAAATAGTACTATTAATTAATTCACCTAATTGCAGACAGATGACATAAACAGCTTTATTGTTATAGCACTGTTGGAGGAGCCCCAGTAAGCACTCTGTAAATAAAAAAATTGTGGATGCTTTTATTGTGATATAGGTTAACAGGGTATGAATTTTGTTTCATGTTATTGTGGCTTATTAAAAATGCCATTTTTTTTTTCCTTGGCACTACAGCCCCAGTGGGCCTAGGCCTACCTCCATGAACTTGTGCCTTCACTTCAGTTTTTCTAGATCTTACACATATGGTAGGACTCCTTGGGTGAGTGATCAGCTTGTCGCAAGGCCTCTACCTGTAGACAAACACAGAAAAACGCACACAAACATCCATGCCCTGAGTGGGATTCGAACCCACGATCTCTGCTTCTGAGCAAGCGAAGACAGTGCATGCCTTAGACCGCTCGGCTACCGTGACCGGCCTAAAATTGCCATTAGAATTGCAAAAATATTAGAGCACTGAATAAGGAATGGGTAGATGATTATGAATTGTGAATTGAAAAAGGTGTGGGGGGGATATGGGATGCAAAATGTGTTTGATATTTCAGAGTGCTATATTTTTCTAATTATGATACATAAGTTTAGTTTAAAGGAAGAAAGAAATTATGGCAGACTACACAATGTAGCATCCCAGAAGGTAGTATTAGAGGAGGTATTGAAACCATATCATTAGAAGAGCTCTATTTGGGGTGAAGCAGAACATTGTCTCGATATCTGTTGCACTGCAGTAGATAGATATGTGGAACTTCTCCAACACAAATGGAGTTCATGTTGTCATTTTATTTTTTGTTTCATTCAGTTGTGTATCATGATTTTAAAGAACGTAACATATTAAAACCCAAAATATATTTTGTGGACAACAGTATTATCCTGTCTTACAGTAATGCATACTTGCTAGAGCAGGAGTCCATGGAGGAGATCGAAAAGAACACTGAAGCCAACAGTCTCAGTAATTTAAGAGATGACAGGTCTTTTATATCATACTATCTTAAAGTTAATAGATATATCAAATGTGTACACAGTTTTTGCATATATTTAGTCTAAACTGATTACATATTCATGTGAAGATATTCATTTTTGTATTGATACCATAGAGGTTTTTGAGCATATGATATGTCTAGAAACAGGGAACAAAATACAGATAATGTAGCCTCACAGTTGCATTTATTAAATAAAGAAATAGGTGCTCCCTACTGCCGAAAGTTTCAATCCATATAGTACTTTAAAATGTAGCAAAGAGATGTTGAATCTACAGCTGTAATTATTTCCCTCTGATATGTGTCATAGGAGAGGCACAGGAAATATTTTATTAATCATGTAGCCATATCCTTTCAGGTATCTATGTTGACCATGAAAGGATTGGAAACAAATTTTCCTAAAGAGATAGGAAAGTGATATTTGGAGACCAGTCACTGAATTCTCTTCCTGTTTTTTCTTTCTTCTTTTGAATACTACTGTCATCAGAATTTGTTATTCTTTAGCTTTAGTAGAGTAATATGCACACACATTATGAACAGCACTGAATGAATATATTCTGAATTATGTTTTTAAATTCTTTCCAGGAATTTGGCATATTCTGGCCAGTAGCACATGAAGAAATGGAGGCTGAAAATTTTAGAGTGAAATTTGTGGAGGAAAGTGATTGTGGTGATTATGTGACCCGTGACTTCACAGTTCAGTCACTGCAAGATGACTATGAACTGCCAGTACGCATGATGCACTGTGCTAACTGGCCACACAACTGTAGTCCCATCACTTCCCTCTTTGAACTCATCCACCTAGTCCAAGAATGGCATCGTGAATATCGAAATGGGCCCATCATAGTGATGGACAGGTACAGTTTAATAATATATGATCCAAGTATTAAACATTAATGCAGATCTAATTTTCCTTTCAGACTAGTTCCCATGCAATTTCATGCAGTAAGTAATATGAGTCTGCCATTGCTGCAAAATATCTGTGGAATTCCTGTGTTTTTGAACTCTGCATGTGTAGCATGATCTTACTTTGAGCATGATGACATTATCAGATCTACAGTCTCTTCCCCTTGGATGTTAACTTGAGTTCTGATAAAGAAAGTCCCACAGAGCTGAATCAGGGAAGTATGAAGGGTTGGGGACATCAGCCTGTGGTTTGTGGTCAGAAATTCCTGAACTAGGGTAAATGGTAGCATTGCTTATTTCTGATAATATCATGTATCACATTCTGTTAACAGTAATTATTTATGTAAGATTTGAGGCTTTCACGGCGGTGACTATGAAGAAAGCAGTCTTCTGGGATTTGGCACCGTGTATATGTGGTGTTAACCGACGTTTCGGAGGAACGTATCGCCTCCATCTTCAGGGTAGAAGAAAAATATAAGAAATCCACAAGCGAAGAGACCGTGAGAACCGGTAAAAGCAGACTGCTTCGCTTGAGGATTTCTTATATTTTTCTTCTACCCTGAAGATGGAGATGATACGTTCCTCCGAAACGTCGGTTAACACCACATATACACGGTGCCAAATCCCAGAAGACTGTTTTCTTAATAATTAATTAATTGTTACTTAAAACTATGTCTTTTCCTGCAATTTCCATTAATGTTCACTGGGTGTCTGGTGGTTCTTTACTCTCACATCACATTGACTTGTTCACGAAACGTTTTGGCCTTATGTGACTATCATCAGGTATAAACTAATTATGTGATGTAAGTTGTTTTACTTTATTTTGCTCACATTGAGAGAGAGAGAGACAAGAAATTAAGCTTCTCCCAGCATAAGCAAAACACAGTGAAACATCTCATGTATAATCAGTATGCCTGATGAAGGCTGTGTCAGGCCAGAACATGCTGTCAACAAATAAGTAAATGTAACACGACAGTGAAGAACAACCACATGACTACTGGACATTAACAGAAGTTTTAAGAAAAGACAGAATTTAAAATAATGAAACTGTTCCCAGCATGCCAGCATATGTCATATGAATTCTACACAGAAAGGGGGACTTTCTTGTTGCAGGTATGGAGGAACAGAAGCGGCCATCTTCTGTTGTCTTACAACATTAAACAAGCAGCTGGAATATGAAAATCATGTGGATGTATACATGTATGCCAAACTCTACCACAACAAACGCCCAGGGATCTGGAAGTGCCAAGTGAGTGCAATATTCAGGGTCATCAATCTGCTTTGCTCTTTCTGATGATTACCATTATGTGCTTGTGCTCTGAAACCTCCAAAGTAATTATTAACTATAAAAGCCAGATTAGTTCTTGAAAACTTGTAATTGCTCAGTGGATGGAACTGGAGGTTACCATGTCTGTCTTGCGCCAGTGGAATCCCGTCCATGCCTTCTCAGTCCATTTGTTTTAAGATACATTTTAGTGTTATCTGTCCACCTGTATCTAGGCTTCCAAAATATCTTCCCTTGGAGTTTTATGAATAAAATATTATACATTACTTACCTCCATGTGTGCTACATATCTTGCCAGTCTCAGTCTTCCTTGATTTAAGTGCCTTGATGATATTAGTGAATGGGATAGATTATGAAATTTCTATTTATGTGATTTTATTCATCACCAATTTTGAAGTAATGTACTAGTATCTCTGTTTTATAACATGGAAAATGTTAAAGAAATTTATATGCTACATCAGCGTAGAACAGTTTGTACATTGTAGTGATCACTGAGCAAAGTAACTCTGTGGAAGTTTGTCTGAATTATGTACAGAGGATGCTTATACTGCTTTGAATTGCACCCAGAGCCCCGCCTATGCTGATGTTGCCATAATGTTACCAGCATTTCTTGTATCACTAAATATAATTTGTCTTATAATAAAGTGCTCTTTCTTTAAGCCGCTTGTGTAAAAGCATATCAGAAGAATACACTACTTTTCTTTTTTTACATAAATTTCATGAGACTTCAAATGTATTGTCACAAATTAGGTGGGTTTGCACATAACTTATAAGATGGGGTTTGGATTGGATAAATAGATTTATTGTACTTTATACACAGCACTTGGGACTACAGGTAATACGCTATCGCTGATCTGCACACTTTACAGTTCACCATTACACCTGCACTAGGGTTCTCAGTTTTCACTAGTTGTATCCTGGCAATGGATTTATAACAGTCTCACTGTCACTTCAAATCACACATGAAGTCTTTGCACTGCCTAATTTGTTTCTTGCCATTATTCTGCAACTCCCAGTTCCAAAAACTTGACTCAATTCAGTTCCTCTGCTTCCAAGCTCATTTCCTGGCAGGCTGGCATCTTGAAATTTGACTCAATTCTTCTCAGTTGAACTCTTCTTTATAACCACTTTGCACGGACCACACAGAAAACACAGCTTCTCTATTGTTGGGAAGGCATGCTTACAGTTCCATTGCATAGCAATGGAATTTACCCAGTTGTTGCTTGCATATTAGTTGCTGTGGGAATGTGAAGTTGCATAGCAATTAACATGTATTTTTCTTCATTATTCTGGCTTTCAGGTATCATGTCACAATATATTTAACCCTTTGCATGACACAAGCTTATCAGATGGTTCAAGGTACTTTCTTAAAACTGCCAGAGTCAAAGGGTTTGGCTTGATAATCATTTAATAGATCATTTCTGTCAGTACATGGCATTAAATATTACATAATGATGTTTAGAAAAAGAAGAGGCTTTCATGCTACCTGCATCTGTGGTTATTCGAGGGTTATCTATGGAAGTATTGTGGGTTTTTATTTGCTGTGGCATTAACCATGGTCACCCCTCGGATTGGGAAGGGGGGGATGATCATCAGAATGCTTCACTTGCATTTAAGTACATTTACCGTAACTTTCTTTCCACTCACAAAATAAATACTTTGGACCCCTCCCCCAATGTTTTTCAGTGTAAGGTTTGCCCTCGTTTAACATTCAGTGTCAATGACCGCAGTCAATATTTCATTGATAAATTTATCTCTAAGATTTGCCTTGGTTTAGTGTCAAATCTGCTGCCTGCCAAAGAAATGTTAGGTGAGAATTCAGCTGTGTATGAAAATATTCTCTTTAATAATCTGTAGGTTACTTGAAGTACAGTATTTTCATAGCATTGTCAAATTGGTAAATTTTCTGAAGTTCTGTCTGTCTGAAAGCAATTTAATATACTGTAGGCTTTCTGAGGCTGTCACAACTTCATTAGGCATTAAGTAGGAACTTAAAGTTGAAACACTAGAAGAAAAATTGGCCACATAAATATATTGTGGTATGGATATAGTGTATGTTACTCACTGATAATGATAAGAACCATTGGATTAGAGATGCTTAATGGAGAGCCATTGAAGAGATAAGGTGGAGAGATGAAGTAAGGGAAAATGTACAAATCGGAGTAGGAAAAGGGTGGATGCAGACACAAGAGAGAGAGCAGAGAATTGATTGGAGAAGGCTTTTCAGTGATTTGAACCACCCTGTTAGAAACATAACCAGATGATGAAAGTGGTGATAGTGATGTCACTCAAAATGTCATTTTAATAATTGTGTATAACTTCAGTAACAAAAAAGAATTGTATGGAGGTAAATCTAGTTATTGTGGTGAATAAACCATGATTTTAATTCTCACTTGTGTATGATGTTTGGGAACAATGATAACAAATCAAAACCTGATTCAGGAGGAAATTAAGAGGAGATTGAACTTGGGTATTGCTTGTTACCATTCAGTCCAGAACCTTTTGTCTTCTTGCCTGCTGTCCAAAAACATAAATCTTAGAATATACAAAACTGTAATTTTGCCTGTGGTTCTGTATGGGTGTGAAACTTTGTCTCTGACATTAAGGGAGGAACATAGACTGAGAGTGTTTGAGAACAGGGTGTTGAGAATATTTGGACCAGAGAGAGATGACGTGACAGGAGGTTGGAGAAAACTGCATAAAGAGTAGCTTCATAACTTGTACTAGGATAAGGTGGGCAGGGCATGTAGCATGAATGGGGGAGAAGAGGAATGCATATAGGATATTGGGAAAGCCAGAAGGGAAGAGATTACTGGGAAGACCAAGGTGTAGGTGGGTGGACAATATTAAAATGGATCTTAGAGAGATAGGATGGGATGGTATGGATTGGATTGATCTGGCTGAGGATAGGGACCAGTGGAGTGCTCTTGTAAACAAGGTAATAAACCTTTGGGTTCCATAAAATGCTGGGAAATTCTTGAGTAACTGCAGAATTGGCCGCTCCTCAAGAAGGGCTCAGCTCTATGAGTAAGCAAGTTGTGCATGATGTTCAGTGGAGTTGTGGTTGTAATTGAAACGAGAATATGCATTGTGTGGGCTATATAGCATTATTACACAACTGTCAACACAACACATTTGTAATAAATAAACCAGTGTTACTGGATTAATATTCATTTATTATGTACATGTACTACAATACAATTCAATACAAGTAGTATATTTCGTTAATGATGATGATCCCACTGGATCAGAACATGTAACATATATGCATAATAAACTAATATTAATGCAGTAATATTGGTTTATTTTTTACAGATTTGTTGTGTTGGTGGTTTTATAGTTAACACTATAGTGTATAGTAATGTACACCCGAATACAAATAATAAAGATTGTGTAGGCTGCTGGTTTGTGACAATGTGAATTAGTGGAAGAGGATACCTATGCTAAAAATGAAGGCAGTAACGTCTCCAGATTGTTGGAAACATTTTGTAATAAATCGTAGCACACAACACTGTATATATACATTGTAGTGAATTCCTAAGGTCCAGAAAAGTAGGGCCTTTTCTTTAGTTCTGGTAAAACATGACCATCTAACACCATGGAGTAGTGCTTAGTGTGTACTTTGGTACGTGTTGATCCAAATTGTCCCTAACTGTGTGAAGCAAATAGGATGCACAACTTTTCTGTCATTATGTGAAACCTTTGTTTTCTGAAGTTTGATACTCCTAGGGTAGTTCCAGTGGTACCTTTGGGACTTAATTTTGTAATCACTCCAGTAAAACTTCACAAGAGTCCTGCATGTAGATTGACCCACCAACTAACATCCGGTGACAGAAAGACAATGCGTGGTCCAACTATGAATAGACAAATTCAGTCCTCTTACTTTTCATTTAACCTCATTAATTTTAGTAGGAAAATTACGTGAAAATACATACTGTCTCCCTTATTCATGAAGAAATGTATTCCATGTAAGTCATTTGTTAAGGGAAGATGAATTTATCCTTCTTTTAGGACAGTAATTAAAGATAATAGTGACCTGAGTTAATATAAAAATAATAATGAAGTATTGTAAACATATGACACAGACATGGCATGTGCGCTAGGGAAAAGGAGCAAGAAATGAAAAAGTAAAATGAAGCAGTGGTATTTGACATGGTTGGGTGGTTGTTCACTCACATGCACAAATAGACAACTGAGTCTCTAAGGTTGTGCTTGGCTTGTTTTCGTTATAGCATGCTGTGGTTGTGATAAAATGTCATAAGTTAAATATCTGTAAAATGAGTAGTTAGTTAGTTTTGTTGGATTTTCATCCTGTATTATAGTTATTATTATTATTATTTTTATTTCATCCATAGCTGTAGAAATTACAATTGGACATGTCAGATAACAACAACATTACATCAAGCATAACATTCAAAGTACATGAATATAGAATAATAAATAATAAATACCTAAGACTAGAGAAAATATTTGAAACATATATACAGTTTGTTTACAACATACAAACAGACTATTTAAAACATATTCCTGTACATATAAATAATTTATCTAAAACAGATTTATTTGTCAGCAAGCAGTCCATATCAACAGTTGTTAAAAAATTCCTGAAGAGAATAAAAGACGTTACACAACAAATAATTTTTTAGCTTCTTTTTAAAAACATTAAAATTATTTACACTTTTTAGTTCAGTCGGTAGGCCATTAAATATTTTGGTTCCCATACCAATCACCCCTCTTTTGCAGCGCTCAGTATTGCAAAATTGAACATACAGATTGTGTTTATGAATAGTATTATAGCCATGTACGTCAGAATACTGGGTAGTATATATCCTATTTTTTATTATAAAACATAAAATCTCAAATATATATAAGGAAGTAACTGTTAGAATCTTAAATTCTCGAAACAAATTTCTACAGGAGACTCTATTTCTTACACCTTTAACCACCCTTAAACATTTTTTCTGTAGTTTGAATAGAGTTTCAGAGTCCTTTTTCACCCCACCCCAAAAAATAATACCGTATTTCAACACGGACTCAAACTTTGCAAGATACACATTTCTTAATACAGATTGGCTCACAGAGTCCCGTAAAGATTTAATCAAATAAAGAGTCTTGCTAAGTTTTTTACAAACATATTGGGTGTGGGTTGCCCAACTTAAATCCTCAGTAATACAAATACCCAGAAATTTTACATCTGATGAACAAACTACCTCCTTATTATTTAAAGAAAAAATGGATCTAATAATTGGAGTAGATCTACTTCCCCGAAAAAAAATTACCTTAGACTTTTCAGTGTTTATTATTAAATGATTTTCATAAAACCATTTTTCTAATTGATTCTTTACATTTTGAATTTTTTCATTTAATGATAACATGTCATTTCCAGTAATTAATATATTAGTATCATCCGCAAATAATACTACCTCTGCATTTTGTATGATTCGGGGCAGATCATTTATGAATAATAAAAATAAAAGGGGTCCTAAAACAGAACCCTGAGGTACACCATGTTTAATAGCCTTAAGAGATGAGGTAAGTGTCTTTATCTTAAAGGTCTTTTGATCCATATGGTGAATTTCAACAAACTGGGTTCTGTCGGTGAGATACGATCTCATCCACGCGTGAGCTATTCCTCTCAGTCCATACAACTCCAGCTTTGCAAGCAGCAAGTTATGATTTATAACGTCAAAAGCTTTCGACAGATCCAAAAATATACCAAAAGCAAATTGTTTATTATCTAGGGTTTTTTGAATTTGTCCAATAAAAGTTTGAATTGCAGTAAATGTGGATTTATTCTTTCTGAAACCATTTTGAGCATTCGATATCAATTTGAATTTATTTAAAAAGTTTACAACTCTATTATACATTAGTGTTTCAAGGATTTTGGAAAATACAGACAAAATTGAAATTGGTCTATAATTGGTAATATTTTGTTTCTGACCTTTTTTAAAAATGGGTCGAACTTTTGCAATCTTCATTTGATCAGGAAAGATACCAGAGCTAAGTGACAGATTAAATATAAAAGTCAAAGGCTTTTTTATGAATTGGATACATTGTTTAACTATCATATCCGGGATCTCATCAAAACCCGCTGAGATTTTTGTTTTTAGTTTACTGGTGACCTTTAGAACCTCTTCTTCAGTAACAGGGACAAGAAATAACACATTTGGGTTCAGTATTATATCATTTACAGTGGCATGATCATTTTTACAGTTTCTATTTAAATGTATCAACCTGTCCACGCTATTTACAAAAAATTCATTAAATTGATGGGATATATCCTGGGGATTTGTAACTAGCATAGAATCAATTTCTAATGAAATATTTTCAATTTCTGTAAAGCCATTTCCTGACTCCTTCTTTATTATTTGCCATAGAGTTTTAGAATTATTGATTGATCTTTGAATGATTTGGTCATTTTCTCTTTGACGGGCAACAGAAATTACTTTTTTATAAATTCTCTGATATTTTTTTATATAGTTCAAGGTGTGAACAGACAGAGCCATCTTTCTTTTTAACAGATATAATAGTTGCAGCCTCTGTCTAGAAACCTTTATCCCTTGAGTGATCCAGCCTGATTTTTTCCCTTTCTTGCTAAAGACCTTTTTTAAGGGGAAGATATGCAGAAAATACTTAAGAAACTTACTTAAGAAAACACAATAAGCACTATTTACATCAAATTGAGAATACATTTGTGAGGCTCGAATCAGTGCAGTTCAGTGTATGTTAAATACATAAATACAGAATAAATTTTAATTTTGTTTTTACATTGAGTTTTATTTATAAACTGGAATGTTTAGAGAAATGTGGGCAATAGTTGTGTGTTTTATTCACGTGAATTTCATTTGAGTCAACATAACAACAGTTTACTTTAAAAGAGAGATATATTCCAATTCACAGTGAATGTGGAAAGAAGTGCAGTATTAAGGAAGGAAACTCTTCCATAGTAGGCTCAAGCACAGGTCAAATAAGGTACCAGATCATATAGCACATAAGATAGGCAGCTATGATCTAAGAAACCCTCAGTAGTGTTTTTGAAATTCAGACACACTGTAATTAGTTTTGTGTATCACTGTTGTCCCTGCGTACTATACTTCATCTTGGACCAAAATAATTGGAATTTCTTTGCTCTTTCAGGATGACTATCTGCTTCTGTACCATGCCCTGGAATCATTAACTAGCAGCATGGCAAACGCCATCCCTCCTCCACCTCCTGCCCCCACTCCTGCTCAACCAGATTTGTACCTTACAGCAAATGGGCACATCAACGGGTTTGTTGGCAATGGAAATGGACCAGGTCAAGGAAATGGAAGTGTGCGGGTGCCTCCAGAAGGCATGGAGTCAGGAGTGGGCAGACGTGACACACTTGCTTGAGGTGTGCCTGGGCAGTGTGTTTTTCTGGTGATATATTTTAGTGGATAAAAGACTGTTAATTCAGTGAGAGACAAGGACCATGTGTGGCAGCATGGCTATTTGCCAAAAAATAGTAATATAAAATTTTTTTATAACGTGTTCATAGTTTTTTTTATGCTAAGAAAGGCCGTACCGTATCGTCAGATTATAAAGCATTACTGTCAGTGGTGAGTTCCGACAGGTGGAAAGTTGACAGTGAAACTGACCTGTAGCGTCCAAAGATTGGTTATGGTTAGGAAAGAACCAAATACGTTGTTCTGCAGAAATAGTTGTCTGTTGGTGCATTTAACCTTAGTGTTGCATTTGTATGTACATATATCTTTGTGTACTCACTTTGGTTTTTGTGTTTTGAATGGCATTGTGTGTAATGTTGTGAATCCCTTAAGGGAATCCAGGTTTTCATATATCCTGTGATTTGACGTTAGGACACCTTCATTGCAGTCTAAAAGATGTATATCTATATATTAAACACACAATGTCTTTATGTTTTGTTAGTGTTGTCACAATTCATAGTGTGTGCACTGGGTTGCATGTCAGTGAATTAGGTGTCTCACACCGTCTGTACTTCATTAGTCATTTGTTGCAGTTAATGAAATCTTGTAGTTTCTAGTCCCAGGAATGCTGGTGTTTGACAGAGCTTTGGCCCACCAAAGGTAAGGGAGTGCTAGGAGGGAAAAATGGGCCCAAGTGGCAAAGACATCTGTGGAAATTGATGATGTAGCATCATTTTCTCATATCCATATTCAGATGTAAGTTGACCAACATCACTGTAGTCTTATATTAGATGACTGACTACATAATTCCTTATCAGTAATGATCAGAGAGAGTTTTAGATGATAGACTTCTTACTTTCCAGGAAATAAGAGAATAATTTTATTTGCTCAGTACAAAGTACATGTGATTTGTGTCTGCCTAGTATCCCTTGTTCATTCATTATAGTAACATTTCTTCTTTGTTATTTTTAATGGAACAGGAACCTGATCTTAACTTAAATTCCATTTGACTCTCAAGGGAGTACAAGTACAAATGCAGTCGATATATTCCATAATGAGACTGGCATTCTGCACTAGTGACAGTCGGAAGTGTAGTGGGAAAACATTCTAAACATTCATCATTGTGAACCATCTCTTGAATCCTGCCTATGTCTTAGCTATGTTATTAGAGTTTATTAAAAAAATATGACAAAATATCTTCATGCAACGTATTTGATATACAGTTCATTGTATAAAAAATAGAATTCAGCTTTTTATATTGGTGTGAACAATCAAGATGGGACATGTTTCCGGGTCAGTGACTTTATTTTAGGAAGATGCATTTTTTGTCATTTTCCTTCTGAGTGTTTTATACTGTATATAACTGTGTACATACAGGTGGATCTGGATGCTACAGTTCCCGATGTCCAAGTGTTCCTAGAATGATATGTTGTAGTCTCACCTCATGTTAGGGAAGTGAATTCATTCCCCATTACGTTTGTACAGCCGTTTAATGGTGTGTCAATCAACTGTGACAGTGAACTTATTCCAACTTCAAGACATGCTGATATAATAAAAGGCTTTATTTGTCAAATAACCATTGTTGTGCTTATCCCTTGTTCTTCTCTGTATCCTGTGTAATCATGTCTTTAATTCCCCAGGTATTTCTAGATTCAGGTAAGAGGTAAATTTACCTTCATGCTAAGAATTGTGTCATGAAAACGTACATGAGGTGAGTGAGGAGCTTCACACACACTAGCCACTTCATTCATAGGGAAGTTAATAGTCCTGGGTACCCACTGAACTGAAGCTCTTCAGGCCCCAGAAGCTCAGTTCTCCTAATGCCTGTAACTGGGCTCTGCCAGTGATCGGATAGAGGAGACAGAAGATAAAAATAGTAAGTACTTAAGAAGCTGGTTTATCTTATCATTGTAATTGAAGCTGAGAGATAAGTTGGTCTTGTTATTTGACTTGGAGGTGCACAGATGTTAGTTGATGTAGTACACAGCTTAAACATGTTTTTGTACTTGAGTCTTGCTGTCATCACAATAGTGGTGATTAAATTATTTCAGAAGAGGAATGAGCGTGCTACATTTGGAATATATCAGAAACCTGGAAGATGGTATTTCCTGAAATTATCATTAATGTTATTACTGTTAAAGACCAGAAAGGTAATGAACACAAACTTCTTTTTTATTATGTAAGATTTGAGGTTTTCACTGCAGTGACTATGAAGAAAGCAGTCTTCTGGGGTTTGGCACGGTGTATATGTGGTGTTTACCGACGTTTCGGAGGAACGTATCGCCTCGATCTTCAGGGTAGAAGGACTGCTTGTACCGGTTCTCATGGTCTCTTCGCCTGTGGATTTCTTATATTTTTCCTTCTACCCTGAAGATGGAGGCGATAGTTCCTCCGAAACGTCGGTTAACACCACATATACACGGTGCAAAATCCCAGAAGACTGCTTTCTCCTTTAATTTTCCTGCAGGGCAAGACATGTTGATATATGTTAAAAAGAAAATATGAGCAAGTATTTATGTTTATTATTCATCATAGAAAGAAAATGCTACCACATACAAAAGATGCATGAAAATCACACAGATTAATGTAAAAACTTAGAAGAATCTGGAGGTTTATTGTAGATAATTTAAAAACCAATCATTAGACATATTCCTGAGAGAGTTCCATCCATCTCCAATTTCCTCCTCGGTGTTCCAATTATACTATTCTTTCCTCCCATCTTAACAGCATGCCCACCAACAAATCTCACTAACCTCACAATGTCCGATGTTCATAGAAATCATGAAGTTCCTTGTTTCGTAACATTCTAAAGATTTATTTTTGCTCTTAAGTCCAGATATATTCCTGACCATGTGAACAATATTTGTTCATAATCTGTAGTATAGCAGTAAGCAGGTTTTACAAATCTTTCCCTGCTTACGTCAGAAATCAGTGTGCATGAAAGATCATTCAGATACTCTGCAACTGAACATTAATTTCCTCTTGTGAAATGTTGAAGCTCCCTTTAAAGAGACATTATTTCTAATTTTGCTAAACATTTTGGAGGTTTGCTGTAAATTGTACATCCAGCAACTGCTAGCTTTATGTCTGCCCAAGTTGGATCCAGGCAGATGATATTTTAATTCTTGGCACATATACAAGTATCAGAATATGTGCTGCCATACATAACACTTTTCTTTCTGACAAACAGGTAACCAAACTGGTGTTTCTGTGCAACAGGTGGCACCACCACACGTAGTGGCTTATGTGATTGTATGATAATGTTTTTCTTTGGGTGGGGTGAGACTTGAGTGCACTTGGTATGTTGGCAACTTATTTGGCCCATTGTACCAGCCCCAGCAGTCAGTGGAATGAGAATTGGTAAGGGAAGCTGAAATGCTCGGAGAATACCTATCCTAGTGCCACTTTGTCCATCATGTATCCCACATGACCTGACCTGGGTTCAAACCTAGGCCACCACGGTGGGAAGCTCATGACCAACCATCTGAGCTATGGCATGGCTTTGATTGTATGATAACACATGTGGTTTTGCTGAGGAGCTGTTGGAATTATTTATTTCGTAGTTGCAGTGTTTTGAGCATCAATAGCATGAGAAGAAAATAAATTTACTGGAGACATACCGAGCAAGATTTTTAGAAGAAGCCAAAATTTGGAAAAGAAAAATGGCTCTCTCAGAGACTTTCGTCTTCCGCCATTACATAAACACATTGACATGAAGAAGGTTAAAAGATGGAGATTTGTGATATTAAGATAAAGACTCTTTGTGGTAGCACATTGGTAGAAATCACTTAAAATCTTTGGACAGACAGGTGGATTTACCTCATGGCATTGCATCTTCTCACCCAGCACCTCTAGCCAGAAAACAAATATTGTTTTGAATTATGTGAAGGCATTCACAGGAATATGAGAAAAATATTTCCTAGCATTTTTTCCAGGCATAGCAGAATCTTCAGAATTTGTGTATAAACTTGGAAACTGTTTTGAGTATTGCCATAGTCACTAACAGTTAGCAGCAATATCCTTTTTTCAGAATCCATTTATTTTACTGTGGTGTTTCCCAGTTTTGGACAATGGAACAGTTTTTGCCAAAAACTTGATGGCACAAAACTGAAGAAATGCTACATTTACTGTAGAGATCTGAAACTTTATTCCACTGGTATACTTATGATTATATATACAAAATTTAAGTCAGGAAGTACACTTTGTAGTGTCCTTTTGCTTTTCAAAAGGTGAAAGTTAGCTGTGCAGCAGACTACAAGATATTATGTTGATGCTTTCTGAAATATAAACTTTTATAAATGAATATGTAATGACTGTTCCAGTCCATATATTACATAGTGCATCTGAGAAGTGATGAGAAGACATAAGTGGTATATATACCAGTTATGGGTAGAAGGATTGCGTATTTCATGGTTGTCAAGGTAACTAAGAGATTATTTGACAGAAACAACTCTGGAATTGTAATTTTTCTATAATATAATTCTCAGTCTGATCATTGAAATTACATCCTGCAGTCCTTTAGTTCTATGTCAGGTATCATATAGACCAGTGCCCATCAGCATTTGCATGCAAATGGTTTAAATGAATTTTTGTTTTATAATTTGGTCATGCCATCTTTTGCTTGTAACATCTTTTATAAATTAATTTTTCTCAATGTTTTTCTTTTCTCACAGTGGTTCAAAAATATTTGTGACAGTGGGACTGAGGGAAAGTTCTATTTTATGAAGTCACAGAATAAACAGAGCTGCATTGGTGGTTAATAACAATGTTCACTTTGTAACAGAATAAGATATTACATCACGGATAGCTTCAAGGTCAACCAGACATTTTACTCATTCAGTAGTGGTGAATCTTCCCTTGGAAACAGAGGCCCAGAGCATAATGCAGATGGTTCACAACTGTGTATTGCCAAGGCTTACCTACAGAGAGTTCTGTATCTCCACATGGTGTGGTGCTTTGTCAAAGGAGCAAATGCAAATTAACTGTATAGAATATGCAGATTTATGGATGCAATTGGAATTAAATTAGTGGAAACTGCGGCTTAGCAGCAACATGCTATTCATACTCTATGGAACAGGTAAAACATCATGTTTTTCTGATATGATTGTAGGCCATAGATCGTTGGCAGTTGCAATGGAAGAAGGCACGGGATTCGTCTAATGCAGGCTATGGATTCAAGTCTCGGGTTTCACCAGAAGATATGGATAAGCAGCAGCCATTATCTAACCATCCAAAGGTAAAAACGAACTGTTGAAAATAAATACAAATTTGTAACATCAAAAGATAGACCAAAAAGTTACTCTCACTTGTGACAGCTGCAGTGGAACTAACTGTTACAAGTCAGAAATTAATTAATTTAACTAATATACAAAATTTCTTAATTTCTACAGCTTTCTCTGCCTCTGAAATGATTCCTAGGCAACTGTAATAAGTTTTACAGTTAACCTTTCTTTAAGAATGCCAGTGCGATTGTTACAGGAACTTCTAATTTGTAAATGTAACCAGTGTCATTCAATGAAGGTTTCTGAATCTCTCCAACATAAATATTTTGAAAATGCTCTCTCCATTTTGTAAATGTCTCCATGTGTGTGTGCGCATGCACCTGCAGGAGAAAGAGAGCATATGTTTGGGGGTGGGTGAATACACATGCATGCATGCATGTGTGCCTGTACTGGTGTGGATGGGTGTACATGTGTGTGCATTCTCATCTGCAAAAGCCCCAGCATGGTAACAGTTCAGAATATCCAGGAATGACAGTTTAAGACATATATCCCAAAGTTCCTTTAGTTTAAAATCAAAGTTTTCATATTTATCCTCAGAAGACTAAGCCACATCTGGACAGCCCTTTTGATCCTAAAAGTTATTTTAGATTTCCCAGTAGCCTAAAACCGAAGAATATCACTTTGTTTTATGTGGAATTAAAAATAAGTATTTCTATTGCCAATACCCATCTACAGGCAATTGATGCTGTGTACTTCAATGCAGCAAGCCGTGATGGCCACCAGCTGGTGGTTGGAACTGCTCATCGACCACATGGAGTTGTAAATGGCTTCATGTGCTTACGGGTGAGTGACATTAGGCAATTTTAAAATTTGCTATTCTCAGAGAACTTGCTCCTTAGATCTCCTCTTCTTAATCCACTTAATGACTTTCACAACAGCAGAGTGTATCATATATAGCATAATATTGGAGGATGATTTTGAATGATGTGGAAATAAGATGATCACAGCCCATGCAGAAGTAACATCTTAGATTTGCCTAGATGGGCTAAGAGGATACTACAGAAAGCTTCAGTCAGGATAGTCACCCACTGGAGGCAAGTGTTGATTTGCTCAATATTGGTAATATTTTCCAAGATTCTTATGCCAGCATCTGTTTCTGGACAGCCTAATTGCAGGAATATGATATTGAATCAGATAGGTGACAAAGAAAAAAATATGCACATAAATATTCACACCCAAGACAATCTGAACACACAGCCTCAAAGCTTTCTTGGCCAAAGATTATTTATGCCCTAAACTCCCGACCTATAGGATCTGCAAAGATGTATTCAACTTTTAACATTTGCTGTTGAACTCTGCAGGTGTTGGGGCATGCGGTTGCATAGTTGGTTGAGGCACTATGCTACAAGCCGGAAGGTCGCGGGTTCAAGTCCCGATGAGGTCATTGGATTTTTTTCAATTGACCTAATCCTTCCAGCCGCACTATGGCCCTGGGGTCAACTCAGCCTCTAACAGAAATGAGTACCAGGAATTAATTAAATAATTTTCCTGGGGAGTAAGGCGCGGCCGGTGCGTAAGGCTGACAACCTTACCACCATCTTTGAGCTGATTATCTAGATAATGTGGGATCCTCAACGTCTCACAACCCTATGGGCCTTCACGGCCTGTTACAGGGATAGCTTTACTTTTTTTTACTTTACTTTTACCCTGCAGGTGTCAGGTGTCAGTAATTCTGACTTAAACAGAAGTTGCTTTACCTGACTGCATGAAATTTTATCTGAATTACATTCTGACAGTCAAACATTTGGAAATAATTTCTCCCTATATTTGAAATTCTTAGAGAGTTCTTATGTACATTATTTACCTATGAAAAGAAACGTAGCTGTGACAGCAGTGACAGTTTGGCACTGTAGTAATGTAGCTGGCACTTCTAGAATTAAAGCTCTTGTATGGGGAAAATGTACCTGTATTTTAAAGGTTAGTTCATCATGATCATGAACTCTGTAAGGTTATGTCAGTAAGGCATGTTTGTGTGAATCTCCAGTTTTCCTTGGTTCTCTCCATTGTCATTTTAGTCATCTTAAATTTTATCTTTACTATAATTTTGCCTGTGGTTCTGTATGGGTGTGAAACTTGGTCTCTGACATTAAGGGAGGAACATAGACTGAGGGTGTTTGAGAACAGGGTGTTGAGGAGAATATTTGGACCGAAGAGAGATGAAGTGACAGGAGGTTGGAGAAAACTGCATAATGAGTAGCTTCATAACTTGTTCTCTTCTCCAAGTATAATTAGAATGATAAAGTCAAGGAGGATGAGGTGGGCAGGCCATGTAGCCCAAATGGGGGAGATGAGGAATGCGTATAGGATATTGGTGGGAAAGACAGAAGGAAAGAGACCACAGGGAAGACCAAGGCATAGGTGGGTGGACAATATTAGAATGGATCTTAGAAAGGCAGAATGGGATGGTATGGATTGGATAGATCTGGCCCAGGATAGGGACCAGTGGAGGGCTCTTGTGAACATGGTAATGAACCTTTGGGTTCCATAAAATGCTGGGAAATTCTTGAGTAGCTGCAGAATCGGCGGCTCCTCCACAAGGGCTCAGCTCCATTAGTAAGTAAGTAAGTAAATTTTATCTTTTCCTGGGCTGGTAATTGAATTCCAATTTTGGAAGGCAGTGTCTTGCCAGTTTTGTTGGTACCTTTTTGTCTATTCAGATGTTTTTTTCCAAACTTTCTCTGATATCAGAATTTCATTGGTGGGCTGACCTAGCAAAGGATAGTAGTGGTATCTAGAGACATATATTTGTGGTGCTTCTACCTCTAATTTCTGCGATTCTCTTCAGTTTAAAATCCAAATTCAGCAATGGAAATGGTAAAACTAAGCATGTAATATCACTAACTGCATTTGTAACAGGTGCCTGATATTGGATTGCTCATGACACCCAAACTCCCTGATACAATTACATTTCGCACTGAAGAAGAAGGAACACACTATGGTGCAGAAGGTATTCGTCTTAAACCTGTGAAACCAATGAAGTCATGGGATATAATGTATGATGGCAAAATGAAGTAAGTGAATATTGGCAGTACCAGAACTTGAAGTAAAAAAAGGGATGTGGTGTACAGTCTGCGCGCGCGCGCACACACACACATCACATAGAAAATAAGAAAAGTAGTTCCAGTCTGCATTGCATCTTATATGGTAAGGTGCCCACCTTACCTCAGCCAAGAAGCAACATGTATGAGGCATATTAAGAAATTAGATTTGTCTTTAAGCTGAAAAAGCATATTACTAGAAGCAGAAGATAAAAATGGTGTTCAATTTTCAGATACTGACCAAAAAATTCCCAGCTTTAAAGGCCCAGACAGGTTTTCATATCTTTAGATATTTAGTTCATGGTTTCAGCAATGAAATAATTTCTGATCATTTACCAGTTTTTGGCATCTTGGTTGTGTTGCTGAATTTTTCACTGGTATGCACTATTGAACTTAACAGCTATATAGGATTTTCCAACAAAATGCAGTAAAATAGAATTTTACAGTGCTAAGCTTTCATGTTTTATGGCTCTTCCAGTCAAATATTTAAGTCCGTGTACACAGAATTAGGTCTTCCAGTTATTACCACCAAAAAGGAAACAGCGCCGTATACTTGCCTCGTTCAGATCTTCTATTTTCTTTCAATTTGGCTAGATTAAGTAACGACTCTGCTAGCTCATGGGGCATTTGGGATATTCATAGCAGAAGGGCCCATGGAATGTCCAACATGTTACAAAATAAATTATTAGAATACAGATTTGGGAATTTGTTCCTACCTGCATCATTGTTGGGAATGAGAGTTGCAAAATCTTCAGGCATTCTTCAAGGAATTCTGTTGTGTTATCATATGTAATTTCTTTGTTTGGTTTCCTTTTCAACGCAGCAACTATCAAAATCTCATTCATACCTCACTGTGTATATACTATATATACTTGATTCTCTATTCAGTTAATATATTGAAACTTGTATCTGAATTAGTACAGTGCGTACAATCAAGTGCGCGCCGCGGCTGCAATTTGCCGTGAGTCATACCACCGCAGAACGGATGCAACTCCTCCCCGCGACTGCAGTGCTCCTACGCCGATGGTTGCATAATCGGAACCCTAAACAGTCAGTCTTTGTCTTGCTGTGGAAGTGGAGTGGAATGTTTACAGCTGTCGACAGACGGTGGAAATGAAGTTCACTATTAAACAGCGTGTGTTTATTGTCGAAACTATTGCAAGGAAAAACATTTACAGAAAATTCGCACGTAGGTTTCGTCAGAAATATCCTGACTCGCCAGTTCCCACAAAGTCGTGTGTAAACAGGCTTCTGAAAAAGTGGCGGGCCACAGGTTCAGTGAGTGACAAGAAGAAGCAATCGAAGAGAACTGTGCTGACTGA